CAGCCGGCCCGCTGGCCGGCTGGTCTCCGGATCGGGGAGGCGTGCGCTGCGGCGGCGGCGGCGGCGCCGCGAGGGAAGGCGCCGGCCCGGGGCAGAGCGGGGACTCTCCGCGCCAGGCGAGCCCCGCGGGAGCGGCGGCCGCGGCCGCTCAGCTCTCGGCCAGGCGGCGCCCGGGAGCGGGCACGGCGAAGACAGCGGCTCCCGCCGCCCGCATCCCCCTCGCAGCCGGGAGAGCCCCGCGACGCGACGCGCCCGCCACCGCCACCGCCACCGCCAGCGCCGCCGCCGCAGCCGAGCGCGGCCACCGGAGACGACTTTCTTGCCGAGAGTTTCGGACCTTTCCTCCCACCGCCGCCGCGCGGCAGCCAATCGGCGCTGCCCGGCTCCCCCGGGCCACCCCCTCCCGCTCCCTCCCGCTCCCCCTCCCCCACAGCTGTCACTCACGGGCTCTCCTGCAGCCAATCGCGTCCCCGGCCGGGGCCCGTTTCCAGGCTGCGCGGGTCGCCTCCCCCTCCCCGATGCGGCCGCCGAGCGCCCCTGCGCGCCAGGAGCGGCGGAGGCAGCGCTCGGGGTCGCTCGCTCTCCCGCGCGCGCACACACGCGCGCACATGCAGTCGCGCGAGCACGCCCGGCCCGCACCCAAAGATGCGCGGCCGCCCGATCCTGTGCACGCCAGCAATCCCAACGGGCCGCGCTCCCAGGGACGGGATCCTTAAGGCGCAATCCCGCGCAACTCCGGACGGGGAAAAGCCCTGCAGCCCCCAACATTCCCCAGGCAGGGTAGGGAAAGCTGGGAACTGCAGGCCCACCCCCCCCCCCCATCTAAACACGCATCTTCAAGTTCCCTGGAAGATCCTCTGCATTCTGATTTCCCCTTGAAACGCGCGGCGCGCGCAACCTCCATCCAGCACACTGACCTAGTCGGAAGTAACCCCATTGCTTTTAACGCAGCTTACTTCCAGGTAAATAGCTGGGGGAGGGGGGGCGAGAGGTGCAGGCCGATCCCTCGTGCAAGCCGTACCCAAAATTGAGCTCCGCGGAGTTCAGCGGGACTTCTCATGCAGCCGAGCGTGCGTCGGATCGGGATTGAGGCCCGCGTGCCAGCATTCTGGCTGCAAGTTGTTAACACGAGGATTCTGCTCGGCTGCGGGGCAGGGGGAGGGCGTGCTAACGGAGGGGGTCTTGCTTGTGCTCCCGGACGCATCGAAGTTCAAGATTTTGCCCCATGAAAAATCCAGCGAGCGCCCAATCTTTGCTCGGACGTGCAACTTAATTTCGGCGGCATCAACTCCTAAGGAGGCGTGTAAACTTGCAGGCCTTAAAGTTAATCCGAAAGAGCAGGGTTAAAGGATCGGAGTTCCTATAGATCTGCAGGCACTACGTTTGCTGCGTCAGGTTTACCACGTTTCTTCAGACCCGCAACCCTAGAGCTTCCCAGCTCACCGATACCTGTATATTTTTATATACAGACAATGCTTTCGGTCCCGACACAGGATTTGACACTCAGATTTAATGGCAGTCACACAGATGTTTGCACTCAGAAAGCTCAGAAAAGCTGAGAAGAAAAAGGAAAAGGAGGACAGGGTAAAAGACTGGTGGGGGGGGACTCAAGAGCACCCCCTGCAAGAGGCATTTCAGCAAGTGCCAAAGAATCCTGATTTTGCATATATGCTGAGAGGGCCTGAGCAGAAAAGGAACTTGGTCTTGCAGTGAACAGCACACCCTGTTGACCCACAAAATCCACCAATTCCTTGCTGGGGAGAGACTTCGAAAAGGAACAGATCATCATGCATCATACAAATCTGTGTTTTCACCACCCTTGAGATCTATTCAGCTTTGGCCACCTCTCCCGAAAACCTGCCACATGGCAGGAAAAGGAGAAGAAAGGGGCAACACAACTCACCTGCAAGAGGTGTTACCATGTCTGTGACTGTTTAGCTTCAGGTGGGTGGGATGGAGAGTAAAGAGAGACCTGAGAGAGGTGTCTGAATTCACGCAAGGCATAAAGAAAGGTCACTGAGGCGGAAAGGTGCTCCGTTCAGGACAGGTAATATGAAAACTTTCATCACGCATTGTGTAGACCAACTATGGAACTTCCCCAGGATGTTATGGTGGCCACCAATTTAGAAGTTGTTAGAACGGGATAAGATAAAGTCCTAGACCTGGTGGCCCATCTGCCTCCTCTTGTGTGTGCACCAGTGGCTGGGGAACATGGGCAGGAGAGTTCTGCTGCCAACCTACGTTGTTTGTGGGATCCTTTAGACGTACAAATTTTACCTCTAAATGTTTTGCATTAACAGTATCACCTTTCCCAAGAAAACCTTCCAGCAAACTGCGTGATGCAAATAGGAGAGCTTGCAGCTGCAGGCCAAACTGTTAAGGATACATAGCGCTAGTCCTCATGACACACACACAGAACAGCCTGCCTCCTGGTTGCCAGTCAGGGAGAAGGGACCCTTTCAGACACTCCTTTTTACCTGCAAGGCAGGTGTGGCTTGTTGTGGACTTTTCCCGAACATTTACTCTCTTTGAGTGATGCGCTCCTTTCTGAAAGGTAAAGGGCAGGGCTGTGGAGGAAAGAAAGCTGTGCACACAGGGGGTCCCTTCCTTCCTGCCCCCCCATGCCATGCCCCATGAAAAGACTTGTCCTAAAAAAACTGGGGCTCGATTGACACCCCTTAGCTTCTTTTCGGCACTCTTGCCCAGAAGCAAGTCAAACCCTGAATGTGCTGGGCTTACTTTCAAGTAAACGAGGCCAGGACCGCATGCAAGACTGAGGTCAGAGTGTACATCTACCGGAAACAGTTTGTGTGTGTGTGTAGGAAGGGTCCCCACTCCACACCGAAGGAATGCAGGGGGGAGGGAGCGACAGGCTACTTGGGCTAGCCCTGCCTCCGATGGTCTGATTGCTGTGGAGGTGACCTCCAGTCTTGCTCTTGCCCTCTGACACACGGATCAGCAAGAGGTTTGCAGATACCCTTTCTCTAAGATAAGGCCTTCTTGAATGAACAGTGCAAAGAAATAGAAGGAAACACTAGAACACAGAGGACCAGAGATCTCTTCAAGAAAATTGGAGATACGAAGGGAACCTTTCATGCAAAGATGGGTACAATAAAGGACCAAAATGGCAGGGACCTAACAGAGGCAGAAGAGATTAAGAAGAGGTGGCAAGATTACACAGAAGAACTATAGAAGAAAGAGCTTAACGTCCCTGATAACCACGATGGGGTGGTCACTGACCTCGAGCCAGACATCCTGGAATGTGAAGTCAAATGGGCCTTAGAAAGTCTGAGCAACAGCAAAGCTAGTGGAGGTGACAGTATTCCAGCTCAGCTATTCAAAATCTTAAGAGATGATGCAGTAAAAGTGCTACACTCAATATGCCAGCAAATTTGGAAAACTCAGCAGTGGCCACAGGATTGGAAAAGGTCAGTTTACATTCCAATTCCAAAGAAGGGCAATGCCAAAGAATGTTCAGACTACCGCACCATTGCACTCATTTCCCATGCTAGCAAAGTTATGCTCAAAATCCTGCAAGCTAGGCTCCAGCAGTATGTGGACCGAGAACTACCAGAAAGTACAGGCAGGATTTCGAAGAGGGAGAGGAACTAGAGATCAAATTGCCAACATACGCTGGATCATGGAGAAAGCTAGAGAGTTCCAGAAAAACATCTACTTCTGCTTCATTGACTATGCTGAAGCCTTTGATTGTGTAGATCACAACAAACTGGCAAGTTCTTAAAGAGATGGGAGTACCAGACCATCTTATTTGTCTCTTGAGAAACCTGTATGTGGTCAAGAAGCAACAGTGAGAACTGGACACGGAACCACTGATCGGTTCAATATTGAGAAAGGAGTTCGGCAAGGCTGTATACTGTCACCCTGCCTATTTAACTTATATGCAGAGCACATCATGAGAAAGGCGGGGCTGGATGAATCACCAGTTGAAATTAAGATTGCTGGGAGAAATATCAACAACCTCAGATATGCAGATGATACCACTCTAATGGCAGAAAGTGAAGAGGAACTAAAGAGCCTCTTGATGTGGGTGAGGAACTAAAGAGCCTCTTGATATGTTGGTGACCTACAGGTATGTGAGGGGATGTCACATGGAGGTGGGTAGAGACCTGTTCTCCCCTGCAGAGGAAGGCAGGACGCACTCCAACGGAGCAAAGCTCAGGGAGCCAAGGTTCCATCTGGATGCCAGGAAGCACCTCCTGACAGTCAGGACCCCGAGGGTGTGGAATGGGCTTCCACGGGAGGTTGTTGAGGCCCCATCGGTGCAGGTTTTCAAGGACAGGCTGGACGTCCACATGGTGGGCATGTCGTGAGCGGAGCCGGCTGGTGCCGGAGGTCAGACTAGATGGCCCGGGTGGCCCCTTCTGACTCGCTCTGTTTCTATGAAGGAGGAGAGTGCAAAAGTTGGCTTGAAACTCAACATTAAGAAAACTAAGATCATGGCATCTGGTTCTCTCACTTCCTGGCAAATAGAAGGGGAAGAAATGGAGGTAGTGACAGATTTTATTTTCCTGGGCTCCAAGATATCACAGATGGGGACTGCAGCCAAGAAATTAAAAGACGCTCTTGGGGAGGAAAGCTATGGCAAATCTAGACAGCATACTAAAAAGCAGAGACATCACCCTGCCAACAAAAGTGCGTATAGTCAAGGCTATGGTTTTCCCAGTTGCAATGTATGGCTGTGAAAGCTGGACCACAAGGAAGGCTGAGCGCTGAAGAATTGAGGCCTTTGAATTGTGGTGCTGGAGGAGACTCCTATGAGTCCCTTGGACTGCAAGGCGATCAAACCGGTCAGTCCCAGAGGAGATCAACCCTGACTGCTCCTTAGAAGGCCAGATCCTGAAGATGAACCTCAAATACTTTGG